GAGAGGGGCGTCTGGAGGCTCCCGCGCCTGGGTTTGATTTCCTCCCCTTTCCTTGGCTGCCCGGCTGGAGGCTGGGTGTTCCCCTGCTGGGCAGCTGCTGCGGGGCCAGGTCTCGCTGCTGGGTGGCTGGCTGGCTGGGAACCTGTCATCTGGCTAGAGGGGGTGGAAATTTTTTTTCTCTCAAACGCATCAACATAGGTTTATCAGGTTGAATTTCATGTGCCTTTGCTCTTACTGCCATAAGGTCCTTCTGGAATTCTTTGGAGTCAGCACTCTCTATTCCAAGTGTCCCAACGTTACTGGCAAACTTTGTCACTTCATTGTTAGTTTCATTTCTCTGATTGTTTTTTTTTTTCCCTTTTCAATTAATAAAAATTAATATTTGTAGCTTTGCTTGTGGCTCAGACCTGAGTGGACGCTTTGCTTTTTATTTCTTGGCTTTCCTTCTTTTAAGCATGTTTCTCCTTAATATCCCTCAGTATAGCTAAAAGCTCCACAGTCTGTCATGAGGTTTACATAGACATGGATGCGTTGCACTGCCTCATTCCTGTAACTGTTCTGTGACCTCAGCATTCACAGAGTTGAAGCATTCAAGCTTTCTTCCCCATATAAATGCCATGGTTTGCCACATGTGGCGTGGGCATGATCAGTGCTGTATTTGGAGAGGGGGGGAGTGTGTCTGGGATGTGTTTCTTGCTGTTGCACTCTGTTCAGAATTATTGGTGTCCTTTCTTTTTATAAAGCGTAATCCTTTACGTACATTATGAGGGCCAGCTGAAATAAGATTACTTAAATGTATTTCGCAGTGGGGCTGTGACATAACTACACAGAAACTGTTTTTTAAGAGCTCACTTGAAAGAAACTTTTTTTCAACTGTGAAATTTAATTCTCCAAGTTTTCTTGCTACTCTGAAATTGTTTAATTTCCGATGTGTCTCTAAATCATTTGTAAGCAGCATTTCAATGACAGTTTCCTCCATGAATGGTCTTCTGAGAGATCTGTCCTTGCTGTCTTCTCATCTCACAAAGACTGAGTGTTGCCTTATTGATTTTCTATCTGCGTCAATATTAAAAGTAGTTAAGTATTTCTCATTCTAGTAAGGCTGTGGACTTGCTTGCAGTTTATAGTCTTGACAGCTGTATTCCTGCATGAGCCTACTGCACCAGTAGCATGGCTAATATTACAAAACAATGTATCTGTTATTCTAAGACCTGATCTGCGTGTCTAGTGCTTCTACACGTACAACAAGTACGAATAAGGCATCTGCCTGCCTTTCTTTTTCTAAGCCTTTTAAAGGTTGTAACAGCATGACTTTTTTTTAAATGTTACTTTATTCCAGTTCAACAAGCGGTATAGCTCCAGCAGGTTTTACACGGATACATGTGCAGTTGTGCTAAAGGAATTGTTTAAGCTGTTAGTGCAAGGTCACTGCAACTTCTTAGGTGCGCGCAAAACTGCAGACTACTATTAAACTGTTCCTATCTAATAACATGCTCTGACAAGATCAAGCTTCGGGGTCACTGAGTTGAATCTCTTCCCAATCCCCAAGCTGATTTCCTTTTCGTTTTAAACAATGTCCTGCTGTCTCAGATACTTCTACTAGTACCCGACTTAGGAAAATACTCATATTAAAAAAAAAAGATTTTTGCCATTTTAACTTGCCCAGTAGTTCAGAATATGCCTATGAGACTGTTAGAGTGCCACGGGAAACCTGTCAACTCTAAGTAGACTTGGCGCTCCAGAGGAAGGAATTGATTATTTACTGAATCTCACTGTGAACTGGCAGATCCATGTAAGAAAAAAAATTGCGTCGAGTAAAAAAATTACAGGTATGGCTTATAGAAAAGAAAGCTTGTTAAGTTATGATTTTGAATAAGCTACAAATGTGTTCAAAACTTTTTTTATAGGTTTTTGCTGTTCGATCTGGTGGAGCTACAGGAGTTGTTGTTAAAGGTTTGGAGGATAGAAATCCCATTTCCTTCAGGTAAGGCGCCTTCATCTTTGTTGTCTTGGGATAGAATTCTGCGATCTTAAAATTATGTGGTACTTAGTCCTGATCTACAGTAATTCAAACATAAAACTTATAAGTAGTTGTGATCAACTTTTGCTCTTGTTCTTAGAGATACTTTTGCAGTTAAGATGGCCTGCTTTGCCCTCATGAATTTTTAGTCTTCTGGGGCAAAAAAAGTTAGTAGGCTGTGGCTTTTTTTTTTTTTAAACAGCAATGTTTTATTAAAACACGCTATATATGTGAGAGACTGTGGAGATTCAAACTTGTGATTTCTACAACAGCAGTGACTTATCCAAGGATGCAGTTTAGCAAGTTAAACAAAATTAAGTAAAATTAAATGTGTAGAGAACCGTAATTTCTGAGTTTCGTGCCTGTGATTCAAGCACAGTGTTTCCTACATGTAGGTTTCTTGCATTCTGTTTCTTACTTAACCAAAATTGTCGTCTTTTATATCTTCCAGATTATGTTGAAATAGTTTTTTGCAGAATGTGATAACAGTACTTTCAATGAAACTACTTTATCTTTAGAGAACTCTTTTATATATGCCTCTGTTCAGAGCAATGACTCTTTGCACTCTACGTCCTCACATACGGACAGCATTCTTTTGCTCGGAGGTTGCTTCAATCCAGATACGGATGAAACAAATTGTAGTTGAGGTGTGTTTACTGTCATCTGTCAGGTATTGCCTGGGGCCTGTCCTGAAAGTTGCTATCTTTATTTGACTTTTAAATTTGACTACCCTTGTCACAAATCCTGAGGGAGCTAAAAATACTCAGTGAGCTTCAGGAGGTTCCACGGTTTTCTTGCTTGACTACCTAGCTCTCTTTTATGTTATTACACTTAATAGCGTATACTGGAACTACATTATTCATGCCAGTTGTACTGATGCTCGTTTGGTAAGAATATGGGTTTTTAAATTTTTTCAAATGATGTGAAAACAGCCTCACTCTCCCTTTAACATCAGAAAGTCTTCTAGACGATGTGTCCTAATGGGAAGTAAGTAGGCTTGGGTCATTTAGCAGTAGTTCTGGAAGTAAAAGGGCTGACTGCAGGATGTTGGTGAGTATCCCAGAACTCCAGACTCACTGGGACAGAACTGAGAACACAGGTTTGAATACTTCCACAGTCTTCCAGTTCCACATCATAGGCCAACGGACTTGAGCATTTGTAGTAACTTCAGGTGCTAATTTGTGCAATCTTAGCCATGTCTCTGTAACGGCTGTGTTCAGGACTTCTGAAGAATGAACTGCCGTTATCTTCCAGTCTGAATTTTGAATCCTGTACTTGTCCGGTGACACTCATAAGTTGTATTCAAAAGCATTTGCATTACGCTTTTTTCCCCTCTCTCTCATTGTCTTTTTGAGGGTGTATTACAGAGTTCCGTAAGAAACTATTTTAGCCGATATTTCCATAACTTCTTTTTCTTTCTATACAGGATGGAAGACAAAGGAGAAGTGAAGTGCATCAAATTTTCCTTGGGGAACAAGATCCTGGCTGTGCAGAGAACTTTGAAGAGTGTGGTAAGAAACCTATACCCTACAGATAGGGAATTGGAGCTGGAAATCTTCTACTTATGGTACCAGAGTAGAAGCCTCTGACACAAAAGTTCAAGAGGTTTGGCGGTTAACAACAGCCGTAGTGAAAATTTCTCTATCATCCTGAGAGGCTGGACAGGCAACATGGTTGTCTTGCTAGTATCATCATTTAAGAAAAAATGTGGGGGGAGCCAACTCCTATAAAGAATTCCCTGGCAGGGATGACGTGGAATATTAGTAAGTCAAGTTTTTCTTCTACAGATCTCATCCAAAGTAATTTGATAAACTAACATCTGTTCTCTCGTATCTACGTATGTATCTTGTCTGTGCTTCATATTTGCTAACATGCTTCATGGGTGTTTTTTCAGGATTTTTTGAATTTTATTCCAGATAGTCCTCAGCTAGAATATACACAGGAATGTAAGGTAAGTTAAGTAAATGTCCAAAGCTTATATGCTTAGGTAAAACTCTAATGTTAGTTATGCTGGTGGCCTCTGCTCTACAAGAGAACTAATTGAGATACCTTCCAAAACACTAACATGAAGTACATGAGATGTGTAGGCACTGCTATCTGTCTGAAATGAGGTAAATGAACAGGTATTAACAATAACAGAAAAAACTTCCTGGACTAGTCACTTTAATTTTTTCCTAGAAAGGACTGGAAATGCTGTGGAGGAAACAAATGTCAAAGTTTGGGAAGGAGAAGAGACAAAGTGCTGATGGTACAGGAACAGTGGACAGTAATTATACTAATGCCAGATATGTTAATGTGGATGTTTTACCCTAATTCCAATGATCAGTGATAGTAAGCGGTTACTAGTTTGCATACCATGTTTGGTATTTTTAAACAACCCGTCTAGTTTTTTGATTTTTTTTTTTTTTTTTTTTTTTTTTTTTTTACCAGAAACAAGTACCATTGTCATTGTTTGGTACTTTCAACTTTTAACTAAGATAAATTACATTTTGGGGTAATAGAACGCTAAAGTAAATTTTTAAGCATCTGATTTGCACAGATCCCTTTATCCTGTAGACTTTAAAGCTGCAGCACTCTCTGCTTCATTATTTAGGATTATGTGTTTTGGTAAACCGTTCTAGCAAAGCATTTATAGTAGAGTTCTGAGTGGAGTCACAGCAAACATTTCCACTTAGTTCTTAATTTCTGTCAACAGAAGGAACCCACTTTTCATATCAGGAATTAGTTGAATTGGCAGGATGGTTTGAACCAGAACAACTCAGTTGTATTTAGGGCAAAAGTAAAATTTGACTGTGTAATACACCTGTAAATCTTACACACTGCCAAAAATTCAGGTCATACAGTAGTTTTGGAACATACAGTTTTGGTCATACAGTTCATACATAGTTTTGGAAGTCTCTACAAAAGTAGCTAATGCATGCTGGGTGTCTAGTTGGCCAAAAGTATTAACTCCAGTGATTGGGTAACTAAATTGCCTTTGGTCTCGTGCTCTTCATTTAATAATATTAGCTTATCTGAATAGTTAATTTTTCCAAGTAAAAAAGTGTTTGTTTGCTTGTTTGTTAAAAGACAAAGAATGCCAATATTCTAGGATTCTGCTGGACAAGTTCTACAGAAATCGTCTTCATCACAGATCAAGGAATTGAGTTCTATCAGGTAATACAAATAACTCCTGTAGGACAGACATATTTAGAGATTTGAAAATGTAAATTTGTTAGTATCTTTGAATTCCTTTCTTCTAGCTCTCTTAATTGAGAAAGCACTACTGAAAAAAGAAATTCTGTTTTGTTTGCAGACTACGATTATTTTTCTTTGAGAGGAATACTTTTTGGGGTAGGGGGGGAGCTTAACACTAACAGGTTATTTAGCACAGCTAACAAAGACCCCGTATAGAGTACTATTGAGTTTAGCTTTGAAAACTAGATTAATAGATGCTTTTGGCTTGAGTGGGAACGAATATATAAATCTAACATGAAATACCACTTTGTGTAAAACTAATCAGCATTGGGGAGCATGTGTGCAAGCTTAAAATGCAGCAAAGTACAAATAATTTGCTAAGATAGTGATATCCTTCTGCAAATTGGCAGCTTCCTCTGTGTTATGTGTAATTACCTTTGCATATGATTTTGGAGAAATCTAATTAATAGATAGCCCTTTCTGACGTTCATGATGAGGGATATTATGAACTTCCTCTAAAGTTTTGCACTTCCCAATAGTTCCAGGCCTGGAGCTAAGACACGGCATTTCACGTAATTACTCTTACTAATAGCTAGTACTAAAGAAAGTCACTT